TAGCGACCCGTATTTTTCTAAATACTATATGCTTTGATTTTTTTATTTATGGGGTTTGGGGTTTAGGATTAAGGGGAAGCGTAATGCAATGCACAAACTGCCACAAACTGGTCGCAAATCTGCTGGCGCATCGCTCAGACACCGAAGACTTTTGCACACTCACTCAGTCACAGGCGCGCTTGGCAAGTTTGCGATGCTGTTTTGGGCACAATCAATGCGGATTTCTGCATGCATTATGCGGATTTGGGCATAAATATGCGGATTTGGGCATAATCAATGTGGATTTCTGCATGCATTATGCGGATTTGGGCATCCCATAACAGCGTTACGCATTGGTCACGTGTGATTTGTCAGCAATCTATCAGGCATTCATGGTCGCATCAGGAGTGGGGTATGCACTGGAAGGCATCGCTTCCTTCACGGCAATAGCGATGTCAAGCGCCTTCTTGAAATCCGCCATGCGAAACTCTCCACTCCCGGCGGTGCAATCGTTGTTGGCGGACTGCACCACATTTTCCTCAATCTTCTTTTTCAGCACCGTCAGCTCCTCAATCATACTATCCACCAAGGCGTAGTTCTCGGAAAAGGAAGCGAGAGCCGAGACTTTTTTCGGATTGTTCGCCTTGTGATGCTCAAGCTGGGCACGATACTCTTTGAGGTCAGCGATGCTCATGGTGTTCAAGATGTCCTTCAGCTTGGGGGCTGTGGCACTACGCGACTGCACCATCAAGTCATAGCACTTTTTGAAGCCGGTCTCGTCAAGGGCGACGGTGTGCTTTTTCTTCAAGGCATCCTTCTTGACGGGAGCACCTCCACGAAGCGTTGGGCGAAGCTCAAGCTTAGTGTTGGAAACCACGCATGACTGAATTGATTCGTAGGCCGTGACCACGCTGTGGCCACAGAATATCATATAATCAACGTCCTTCATTCGACTCTGGAAAGACCCAGCGCGGATGCCCGTCTGTTTCTCAAGAACCGCAGAGAGCTTATCGAAGGTTGCACTTTTGGCATAGTGGTAGACGAACCCTTGAACAGGCGCGTTCTTGTCCAACTGCTTACAGTAGAGCTCGACGTCCCCGACGGTGCACTTGTTCGGCTTGTTCAACTCCTTGAGGTTGATACGGTTAAACTCGGCACACATTGTCTCGACGGTTGGGAAGCTTGTCTGCACGTCGTCGTCTTCTTCAGCTTCGCTTTCATCACTTTCGCCCTGTGAGCTGTCGTCATCAGAGCTTTTGACATTCGCCTCGGCTTTTGCATAGTCGTATGTGTCGTGCTCCATGATCATTAAGCACATCTTCTCATAGTCCTTTGCCTCGTCGCGAAGGAACTCTTTCATTGTCCTCTCCTTCATCTGCGACGACCAACCAAAAAAGCAACAATCCGTGTCGTTGTAGCCAGCGTTCTTGGACTCACACAGAATGATGACTGGACGCGCAATGTCTAAGTCACCATACGCGCTGACATACTTTGCGACGATTGTCTCCTGTGTGTCCTCGAAGCCCACAAACACGGAGCGGTCACAAGTACCATAGGCCGTACCACCAATGACAATTGGGATTTCCATGCCCTCGTTGTCGTTGTCTGTAGGGCGAGTGTAGTCCATGATTGCCATCAGGTCGGGTTCCTGAAACTTGCCCTCTTGGATGTTCATCAAAAGAAGCTCAAACGCCTTCGTTGGCTTCACCAAAACGTCTTTGAGCTCATCCACGCACTCCTTGTTGAGCATGCGAAAGAGGAACCCCTTCTCGGGGTCAGAGCACTGCCCGACAAACATCTCCATCAACGTAGTAGTCTTTGCCATAGCTTCAACTACCAAAGAGCGCGAACTTTTTGCTTTGCTACAGGTTGGGATTGCTAAAATCCCGTTTGAAAGGAAACATTGCCGTGACCATGTGCATTTAGTGGTTTTTGCTCTCAACATGCTTCAAGCAACTGCACTCGCAAAGCACTCTGTTGTCGTAACCCCTAAACATGCAAGGCGTGCCTTCCGAAGATGTTCGGCTCGTCGTCCAAAAAAGCGGAAGAGGGAGCTTGCCCCTACTATAAGGCTTATTGTTATTCTTGGGTTTTGGGCTTGGGATTTTAGATTGAAAAACCATGCTAAAAGGACTAACTATAACACGGGAAGCCCCAGAAGCTTAAAAAGTTGGTAAAAGACAAGAACGAAGAAGGGGAGAGAATAGACAATAATATAGGTTTATTCTTGCTATAAATCATAACAAGAACAAACATTAAAACAACGATATAGGAAGGACTTCAAGAATATAGGAACGCATAAGGTGGAGATGTTGAAATTTGGGAACGTTGTTATTTGTAGGATTTAAGGAATGAATTAGGTAGCTTGTCCTCAGAATCGGCCTTCGATAATGGATGAGGTGCGATGTGAGAGAAAACGAATGAGGGGATGGTAAAAAGTTGGGGACAAAAAAATGAAAAAATTCGGCGTGAATTATCGGGGAAATGGGCTTAGGAAATGCTAAAGGTGGCAAAAGAACATAGAACTAAATGAGAGGACAAAGCCAAGAAAAAGCGTAGCTGATGGGCAAGTGGGTAGCAATATAACCATGAAGCCTTAGCTTTTGAATCGGCCTTTTCCTAATTTTTGGGGTAGCCTCAAAATAGGGGGAGCAGAGGTGCCATGCAAGCCATACGGGGAAGTCATCACTGCTCTTGGCTCGCCTCTGACCTTCGGCGGGGAAGTTGCAGCCATACTCACGGAGATGATCCACAGAGCACGCAGAGCATTCCACAAGCATGCAAAGCTCCTGTGCGCGCCATTGAAGCCACACCAGACAGTGGTGCGGGGGGGAGGCATGGCAGGTAACGGACGCTATTCTCAAAGCAGCCAAGAGCACACAGTTGGGACAGATCCGGCGCATGTAGCACTACACAAAGTTCAGGTTCAGGTCTTGAGGTGGAGCACTTTTCTCCTGCAGCGCATCTGGGACATCTGTGGACATATGGCGCGTGCTGAGCTGGGGGGCCGTCCAATGCTCATGTGGAAGAACATGCAGTGGTGGGGAGGAGAAGTGCGGCGGCCGAGGCGGGAGCGATAATACTGGCACAAAGGGCGCTTCAACCCGCAGCTGGATCCAGAGAGACAGATAGTGCGAGTGGCGGGGGAGGCGTGGCACGGGGTGGCTATAGACCACAAAGCGGAGCGTGCTGGGGGGAACATTTGTGGAGAAATTCGATGTGGAATGGAGCTCAGGGCAGCAGAGCAGCCTCACCAACTTGACACCGAACAGCAGCGCAGGGGGCAGGCGGACGCACGTCACTAGTGAAGCACACAGGCTGAGAGACTGATGCCTACAAGCAGTTGCAGTACCGGTTGGAGAGAGCAGGGGAGAGACAGTTGCATGCAGTTTGGAAGCAGTCTACCGATGCAGTGTTCAGTCCAGCATGCTGTTCATGTTCCATGTTGTGCGGAGTGCAAGCTGACCAGAATTCAGAAGCAAGCTGAAGCTGACAGTGCGTTGCCGTTTGCATCGCAGCACTCAGCCTCAGACGGGGCGAAAGTAGCCACGTGCAGCAAACAGTTGCCCCGCGACCTGCGGAGCACAAGCATACTCGTTTTGGCGTCGGCCTCTTCTGGCAGGGGCACATCTCCACTAAGCCCAGAACCCCGGAGCAGCCGGCGAACCGCCAAGCAGCCGCAGAGCCAGAGGAAGGGGTGGAGCAGGCAACGCCACTGACGCAAGCAGCAGCAGGGGACCCGTGGCAGGCAATAGTGGCTTGGACAGAGCCAGCACCCCAACAACAGCCACCGCAGCCGCAGCAACAGCAAGCACCCACGGTTCCAACACTCCACCTTCGAGCAGACCACGACTCAGAGCCGACAATACACGACACGACGACGAACACACCCAGGCTTGCGGAGCCCGGAGAAGCACAAACACGGGCCGAACGCCCAACAAAGCCCAGCAACCGCCGCGCAGCCCGAGATTGCAGGGAGGAGGAGAAGCCCAGCCACAGCAGGCCCCGCAGGGGCTGGAGCCGCAACTGGAAGACGCGACCACGTGCACTACCAACAGGACGGCCGGAGCCAGCAGCAGCGGGGAAGAGCCCCAGGAGCCGCAGGAAGCATGCAGGCTTAAGGGTCGAGTGGAAGGTCACAGGTACAGGGATCAGGCTTCTGTTCGGTTTGAGGCAGAGAGACCAGGCGGGTTAGGCTAAGGCCAATGGGGGCACCTGATTCAGCACACAGTGTCGCTCAGGCTACCGTAGACCTTGTCTTACTGCTTCGTTGTTCCCTTCGATGCAAAGCTGAACGGGAGTCGTCTTGTGTTTCATTCATACACTTGCTGAAAGAAGAGGGGGCCCGGCCACTTGCCTTCTAGCCCATCCATTCCAAATGATGGATGGGGCAGCGCGCCCGCGCGGGGCGGGAGGATTGCTCCCGCTCCAAGCCCCTGGCAAAGCAAAGCAACGAGAGAGAAAAAAGAGAGAGGGTAGGAGAGAGAGGAGGGAGAAAGAGAGAGAACCATGTCCCCGTGTCGTACGAGCAGCGAAGATACTTCTTGATCCCGCTGATGAACCACCCAAACTTTCACACCTCCCTAAATGCAAGCAAACGGGTTTAATGGTCGCAGGGGTTGACTCGCTCCTTAAGATTGGGAAAAGAAGACTCAGAACAGCAAAAGGGAGAGAGAGGGAAAGACGCCCTTATGCACGTCAATTGACAGCTGCACGACTGGACCTTGTCGTGCCTGTCATGCGTGCAGCGGTCGCGACGTCGAAGGGCCCAGACTTTGCAGTGCATGAGTGTCGTGCAGCAGTAATTGCGTGAGCATGTCTTCCCACCGACATCCTTTTTGCCGCCGAAGCTTTTGTCACACCTGGCAACCGCGCACTACGTCTTCCAGCCCTCATGGAAGAAAAGGGTGAAGGAAAGAGTGGAGGGGTGCTAGCGTGGCCTCGCCAGTGAGGCAAATATTTTTTGCTGCGCACTGCCGTCAGAAGCTGAGCTGATCCCGCTTCAGCAGCTCCAGCCCAAGGCGCTCTTGGCTCCCTGGCCATCCGAGTGGCCTCGGACACCACCCGCTGTCTAGACATCGGAGGCATCTTGCTCACTCCTCAGACGGAACTGCTCTTCTGAGAGTCGTCTGTCAAAGTTTGGATGCGAGGTTTGAAGATTTGCCCAGCGGGACAGCCTGCTGTCTCTTTCGTGTTGTTTTCATGTTGGCATCCAGCTACTTCTTATACTTCCAAACAGTAGGAGTCCAATCCATGTTTCGGAGTGCTTGCCAGATCGCCGCAACCTGAGTTGGAACCAGTCCCGTCTCGCGGATTCCCTTTTCGGAATCCTTCAGGCGGCGCCAAAGCTCAGCGCTTCCTCGTGCCGGAGGACAAAGGAGAGATCAGGCTACTGCTAGCAGCGAGGAGACCATGGCAAGCTGCTCATACCAGGCTGGCAGAACACCCGACGAAGTGCCTGGGCATCCGAGGCCAAAGCTAGGTGAGAGAGCGCAGAAAACAACAAATCCTGAAGCGCTCGAGGTGAAGTCCGGCGCGGAACCCCAATTCAACTCGATGCGTGTGCTGGACGCTCAACAAGCATCACCTGAGCTGGTAGAATGGTCCTCCAAGATGTCTGAGGCCTCGACGCCGGAGGTCCACTCAAATCAAAGGCAGTTCAGCACGCGTCTGACATGATTTTGCATCTCCCTTGCCATGCTGCAGAAGCCACCTTGTGTGCTTTCCGTTTATCTGAGACTGTCCGCCGGAGGTTCGTAATACCCGGCAGAAGTGGGCAAGTCCGATGGGCAAAGAACCCAAGCTGGTGCCTCGAAGACGTTGGATTCGATCGGAGGCATCATGCTTCATCCCCAAGTGAAGGAGGGAAAGATTCGGAATGCATTGATTGCTCTGGCTTTTGATCCAAGGTGCCTTGCCGTTTCTGAAGGGGCTCTGGTTTTGGACCTTTGCGATCAGCCAGGCAACTTGAGCAGCGACTGGCCAGACCATGATCAAATTCCATGTTGAGCGGCTTCTTAGATGAAGGTCCAAACCGATTCTTGTTGCCGGCGCTGGCCTTCTCCCAGCTCTGCAGAGAAGGTCTGCATTGGTGGCACCCTGCAGGATTTGATGTGAGAATTGTGAACTGGTGCTGGAGGTCTGGACATGGGCACTGCTGGCCCAGGTGGACAATGCTTGTGTGCTTCCCTCCAGCCTTCCAAACCAACGTGCGCAACCCGGGTTCAAGGTGCTCCCTTACTGGCCGCCGCAGCTGCGCTGGCTGCACCTGGGATGGAAGATACCCAACTTCACAAAGACGGTTGCTCCGAGATTTGAAGCTATGCTGAGGCTCTGGCGATGAGAGGGCTGACAGTGCCGGCGATGGACTTGGAGGTTGTGAACACATTCTAACACAACTCCCAGCGCATGGACTCGCAGAATAAGAAGTGGATATTCCCTCCAGTGCGCTATGAGAGATGGGCCGGAGCTTTGGCCCAGCTCTGTGAAACCTGGAGGAAGAGGCAACAAGGCAGAGGCAATATCCTTTGCTGCTCCGCTTAGATGCAGCGTTGCAGCATAACCTCTGTTTCCACGAGCCACGTCAGGGACCATCTTTACAGTAGGTCATACTCCGATCTCCCAGGACCGTGGGAGCTGCGAGGGAGCCGAGCGGCTTTGTGGGGCTGCCCTTCGGAGCGCAGGACGGGCTCTGAGTCTCTGACAGTTCTCTGAGCGTCCTCTGAGTGTCTGCTCCTGGAGTTGCCCGTGTTGTCTTTGCCAGGTAGACAAGGACTCGAGGTGATGTGGCAAGAGGCACGGGAAGGGCATTTCTGGCTCCTTCACAACTTGCACCATGAACAGCGTTACTGTGCTCTTTTCATAGAGTCTGAGAGGCCAGACATCCGAAACGAAGTCCCAAAGATCCCGAAAGAAGTGGGGGGAGATTTCCCCTGCTCCCAGATAGTCCCGCAGGCAGAGTCTGCCCTGCTCGCAGGCCTCGCCCTGGAGGCTCGCGTGCTCGCACGGACAAAGGAGCGACGGAAGGGTCATGACCCTTGGATTCGCCAGGAAGCGCCGGCCCTGGAGACTTTGGCCAAGATGCCGTGGCCTCTGCTGGGCACCCAGTGGCCAGGCCGACAAGGCGGCTGCTGCAGCTGCTGCGGTGTTCCCGAGCGGCTTTTCGAGGACAGAGCTGCTGGCTGCGGCCTCCAGGAAAGGCCACGATGCCGAGCAGGCACGGTAGCCTGCTCCTTCCTGGGCCAAGTGCGGTGACCTGTGTTATCTCAGGCATCGGAGCGAGGCTGGTGCTAGTGAAGCCGTCAGTGAGAGCTCTGAGCTGCCCCCGTCGCAGGCGGAATCTGCGCCTGTGATCTGAGACTTTGGCCGGTTGAGGAGGCCACGGCTCTGAGATTCTTTGCTTCGGGTTGTTGCAGTTGCTCTACTCGTCGGAAGGCACGAAGTGTTGCGGCTGCTCAGAAGGTCTTGGAGGAGCGATACGGAACACCAGGCACAAACTGACTAAAGTGGCCTTGGACAGGAAATCAATGGCGGCCCGAAGACCTTGGATACCTTGTCCAAGGCGCTTGGTCTGGATTCTGCAGCAGAAGGACTCCCACATGCAGGGTGTTTGGTGAGGCTTTGGAGTCTCCTAGCGCGAAGACCGCCTGCAGCGCCGCTTGGGGTGCCAGGCCAATTTCTGCTTTGAGAGACGCGAGCGCAGATTCGAAAGATACCAGCAGCGCACCTTCTCAGACTCGCCACTGCAGAGCAGCTCTTAAGGGAGCTGTGGGGGCTCCATCCGGATTTGCCCATGGAGGCGCGCAAGCCGGCAGCATGAATGCCATTTGTAAACATGTGCTGCGCAGTTTTCCAATCCCATGAGAGCCTTACTCCTGCTGAGCCCGGCACCTTGAACCCGAGTGATGTTGCTATTTGGCACACCCAGTTGGGAAGCGATGCACATTCATCTGCTCTGGTTAGTTAGGGCAGGACTACATGCCGCGATCTGCCGCAGCATGAGGAAGTGTAGTGGGGCCGTGCGAATCTTGAAGTGGGCAGACAGTATGATTCACGCAACGCTGACCTTGGCCTGCTGTTGTTCTCTGTTGCGTAGGCTGTGTAGAACGTCGAGGTTGTGCATGATCGATTTTGGCCCATGCCCATGGTGATGATTCACACTCACTGCTCTGGTTAGGGCAGACCTACATGCCGTGATCTGCGGCAGTATGAAGAAGTGGAGTGGGGCCGTGCTAATCTGAAGCGGGCAGTAAGACAGAATCACGCCCCGACTGTTGCCCACCGTTGCGGTGTGTTGAACATGTGTACAAATATCTGGCCGCCTCGCGTCCGTCGTGAAGATGCCAGCTCATTTGCTCCGGGGGCAGGCCTACGTGCCGTAATCTGCGGCAGCATGAGTAACTGGAGTGGGGCCATGCCAATCGGAAGTGGGCAGGCAGTATGATTCACGCAACGCTAACCTTGGCCTGCTGTTGTTCTCTGTTGCGTAAGCTGTGTAGAATGTCGAGGTTGTGCATGATCGATTTTGGCCCATGCCCATGGTGATGATTCACACTCACCTGCTCTGGTTTGGGCAGACCTACATGCCGTGATCTGCGGCAGTATGAAGAAGTGGAGTGGGGCCGTGCTAATCTGAAGCGGGCAGTAAGACAGAATCACGCCCCGACTGTTGCCCACCGTTGCGGTGTGTTGAACATGTGTACAAATATCTGGCCGCCTCGCGTCCGTCGTGAAGATGCCAGCTCATTTGCTCCAGGGGCAGGCCTACGTGCCGTAATCTGCGGCAGCATGAGTAACTGGAGTGGGGCCTTGCCAATCGGAAGTGGGCAGGCAGGATGATTCAGGCTACGCTAACCTTGGCCTGCTGTTGTTCTCTGTTGCATAAGCTGTGTAGAACGTCGAGGTTGTGCATGATCGTCTTTGGCCCACGCCCATAGTGATGATTCACACTCATCTGCTCTGGTTAGGGCAGGCCTACATGCCGTGATCTGCGGCAGAATGAAGAAGTGGAGTGGGGCCGTGCTAATCTGAAGCAGGCAGTAAGACAGATTCACGCCCCGACTGTTACCCACCGTTGCGGTGTGTTGAACATGTGTACAAATATCTGGCCGCCTCGCGTCCGTCGTGAAGATGCCAGCTCATTTGCTCCGGGGGCAGGCCTACGTGCCGTAATCTGCGGCAGCATGAGTAAGTGGAGTGGGGCCATGCCAATCGGAAGTGGGCAGGCAGGATGATTCACGCTGCGCTAACCTTGGCCTGCTGTTGTTCTCTGTTGCATAAGCTGTGTAGAACGTCGAGGTTGTGCATGATCGTCTTTGGCCCACGCCCATAGTGATGATTCGCACTCATCCGCTCTGGTTAGGGCAGGCCTACTGCCGTGATCTGCGGCAGTATGAGGAAGTGGAGTGGGGCCGTGCTAATCTGAAGTGGGCAGTATGAATGATTCACGCCTGGGGACTGTTGCTGTTGCGAAATCATCTGCTCTGGTTAGGGCAAGGCTTATGTGCCACTTTCCGTTCCACAATGGTGCAGCGCAAGAGGGCACAGTTGCCAGAATAGTGCTTTTTGGCACTTGTCCGAAAAGAAATCTGATGTCTTCTGGCCCTTCCCATGGTTGCAGTGTCAGAAGGTAAGTAAGAGGTGGTGCAACCCTACAGACTATGCTAAACCCTGAACTGGGACCCTTAACTGCAAATCCGAAAGAGCACGTAACAATGGTCTGTTTCTTGTTTTATCTTCACGGTATTTTGATGGAAGCGACCCAGGAGTCCTTACCTTTGGCCGCCTCACTGCGGGACTCGGGCTGGGCCTTTGACGCCGGCATTTGCTTGGTTGGGGCGCGGCACTCGAGCCTTTTTCATGGTTTCTCAGGGCTCTTGGGGTGTTGATGGTTTTGAGCTTTCGATGATTTGTGGCTTTTTGGAGGCGTGTTCTGCTCGTTTGGTTTTGGGACCCACGAGCTATTACTGATAGATGCTTAGCCTACAAGTTCACTATGCGCCGCAGTCACAGGTATATGTGATCATTTCAAAACGGCAGACGATGCAGCATTGCCACCCCTTCCCATCCCGTCCCATCCCGTCCCATCCCGTCCCATCCCGTCCCATCCCCCATCCCATCCGAGAAAGACTTCACAAAAATCTCAGCAGCTCTCAAAGGAATCGTTTGACAAGTGTGCTGCTGTCTGTACCATCTGCAGCACCCTGCCATGGATCCCTTTTACGCTTGGCAGATGCTCCTCGATGAGCGAAGGGACTGCCCGCCGACACGTGCACTGGAGTTGTCCCATTTCGGTAGCGTTGATCCGGCTGCATATTCTGTTCTTTTCCAGCTTACTTCCATCTGCCACACCTGAGGCTTGTGATGGTAGAGTCGATGTCTATATTTCTTAGTTTTCCACGTCAGGAGCTCAATTCGCGGCTGTATCAAGCTATGACTCAAAGCACAGAGCAGGACGCCGGGTTTCCGCGCTCCTGTACTGTGATCAAGATGTCAAATCACCTAAGCCTGATAGACGTTATATCGAAATCCGAAAAGGAGGTGGTCCAACATTAAGGGTGCCCTTCGAGGAATATTCTGGATATTGGAGTTTGAGTTGGGGCAGTTGGGGTCCATGCTGCAGGAGAGACTTTGCAAGACAGCGATGGAGCAAGACACACTCAGGATGAAGAGCCGGGGTCCTCAGGACTGCCTTTCACGTTTATTTGATTCGCAGCACCAGCAGCAGCGGCTATACCCCTGGCACGACAGACGACAGGATCGGCTCTTCCGGCAGAGCTTGCGAGAGCCCCGCGAGCCATCGGCGCCTCGCGCCGCTGCTCCGCCGGGTGGTCGTCCCTGCAGGAGCAGAGCTGAAAGGGGCCTTGGGCCTTCCTTGGCCTTGGGCCTAGGCCAAAGTAGTGGGGTTCGGTTCTCGCTCTGACATCTTTCCGTGGAGAACATCTGAATCTGGGCTTCTTTTCACACTGTAACTTGTTGTGCAACACACGTAGTGTGTGCAGCATCTCACGGGGACTACCACGTCGCGTGGGAGAGACGTGTGTTGCTTGGTGTAATCAACACGTACTGGTTGTTGATCGTCATGTGTAGTGTAGACTTGTGTTGGTGCCTTGGCTAGTGTATCAGGATGTATCCGGTTCAAGGGGGATGCGTGCGCCTCCGTAGTTGCCTTAGTTTGTCATGCTAAAGTTGTCTAGACTGTGCGTTCTGAACCCGGCCACCATTCAGCGAAACATGTAGAAGAGTGTCCTGGTGGGCAGGGTCGAGTTTGAATGTTCAAGTGCGGGGAAGATTTCACCCTTGCAGACACGTGGCTGTCCCTTAGCCCTCGGTGACAGGATGGGACCGTGCAGCGCTATGCCTCCCGCAAGGCAACGGCGCATCGAAGCATGGTTGAGATCTTCTTCCTATCTGTGTCGATGACGACGATAGTTGACATGGCGGTGCTTGCAGCGGAGATGGCTTGCACTTCCGGATTCGGGTCCTGCTCTCCTTCGTGCCAGCATGTAATCGTCTGCAGTGCATACTCATTCTTCGGAGTGGTTTGAGCCTATTGAAAAGTCTTAGAGTGCCACGGGTGTGAACCGGGATGTTTGCACATCACGGTGGCTTCACTGCTCTGTGATTCCGCATTTTTGGAAGCCAGGCCGATTTTGAAGCCTTGCATCAGCGCTCTCCATCATTTCATGATTGTTGGGCCGGCTCATCTGAGGATTGGATAGCTGCACAGCGTGCCAAGATGAACGCATGGCGGCGAGCGCAGACGGCGAAGCAGAAGAAGGACACTTTCAGGGTGTCCGAAGCTTCGTTAAAGGACAACTACCTCAGCATGAAGAATGAAAGACAGTACTATCCAGCTTGCCAGGACCTGCAAGAGCCGGAGGCGGATGCGGAGAAGACCTGGAGTGGTCTTGGACTCACTTCGTCTGCTCGTCTGCTGGCAGCTGCTGGCCTCGTCGCGGCCAGCGCTCGCAAGACACGAGGTCCATGCTCTCGCGAAGATCACAGCTCTCGCGCTAACCCAGGCATTTCAGGCGTGCATGTTGTTTAGGGAAGCTTGCGAATCAGAATTACCATCTGTGCGCAGCTTGTGCAAGTCCCATTTCGCAGCCCCGCTGCCCCTGGCTTCGGAGCCTGCAGGTTCTGCTCCGCTCCGGCCTTGTCCACCCACTCCACGACCCAATTTGCGATGTCGTTTCCTTGGCCGTGCGGAAACTCGCTCGCACACGAAGCCCAGACCATCGCAACGCAATGCAGTTGAGCCAGCAAAGGAAAATGCGGCTTTGATGGTACCTGACTGGCAGGCCGCCATGTAGGTTGTCCCAGTTTGGTGTCTGATGAGTTGTGATCGCGGCAGGAGAGCTTCATGTCGGACCTCGCGACCTTGCTGGAACACTTATTGGGCCTGCCAGAAGAGGCTTTCTTCCTGCGAGTGCGGCACAACTGGCACAAGGGAAACGTAGTGCCTGGGACCGGATTCAGCCCACTGAAGAACAGTACCCCCAAGTCCCCAAGCAGCTTATTCCACCAGGTTGCAGTCCAGATCTCCTTTGACGCCTGCGCCACGCCGGCGCATGCGGAGCTTCTTGAAAGGAGCCTCCGCGATGGCAGTCTCAGGCCTGCTGGCCCAACACAGGCATGAAACTCGAGGGAGGGATTGGATGATTGGATCCTCCCAAGGTCCAGTGTGTGAGAACTAGCCACGTGTGGACATGTCTTGCGGTTGTTCTGACTCCTCGTGTTCAACTTCGAAACCCGCCCATAAACCCAGCGCAGGCGGATGGCGCTCCGAAGCTGCACGCAGGCCTTTTCAGCCTGGCCTGTGTCCAAGGCGCGACTCGGGAAGTTCCGCAGTTCTCGTGGCAGCTTTTGTAGCTTTCCGCGTTGAAGGCCGTTCTGAAGTGTTCGGGGAACGATCTGAAGTCTGCAGAAAAAGGTGCTTCGGCAGTTCCTGCTGCGAGACATGGAGTTCGAAGCGTGCCGGCCTCAGGGATTGCGGTTAGGGACATGGGACCTGGTCACAGGTGAAGATGGGTTGAGGTTCGAGTGCAGGAAAGAAAAGAGCTGTGCAGATCCTGGAAGCCCAGGTTTTGGGTCACGGAGCGGCACGAATGGCACATACCCAACTTTTTGCAGGCAGCCGTAGCGCTTGTGCATCCATACGCGTGTACATTGCGACGGCATCGCATCTACAGCCGCTTCGGGTTGCTCTCCCAGGCGTTGCAATCCCCCAGCGCATTCCTTTTCTCCCAGCCGTTTGAGCTAGGAGGAGGCTCCGAGGGTGCTGCAGAGGGAGCAGCAGCCACAACATGCCATGCTGTGCTTGCAAGCAAGGTCCAGCAGCTTGGCTGTACCGTTGAGTTGCCTGCAGGTGCCAACATGACACTTCTTTTGCACCCGAACTGCTCTTCAAAGACGGAGCTCGGTGACCGGCCAAGCAGGTATGATTAGAGTCGTTAGAGTTCATCTTCAGTGCTTGTCCTGAGAACTGTCCGAGGCTCTGCAGCCATGACCCTGTCTGCAGCGGGTCACCAGCGACCGAAATCGCCTTTTCTGCTTACTGCAGGATATGCTGTCAGCGTTTATTTTCTTCCGGCTATTGTTCGCCGCGCTTCGAATTGCGCCACAAAGCCTTGCATGGCATTTCCTGGCATGACTCTGACAAGGAGTTAATGGTGAGATATGGGCTGGGCCTTTCGGTTGGCGCCCTAAACCGGCTTTCAATTTCATGTTTCATGAACATGTGTGATGGAAACTGTGCTGCCGGCCACTTGCCTAAGGCCGCGACGCAGCAGATCGCTTCTATGCAGGCCAGCAGGGACCTTGACCACATACTAGAACCTGTAATTCCAGGCGATAAGGCAACGTGCATGTCGCTGGGGCTGTACAGTCAGAGTCGTCGGTTCGAAGCTGGAACTCGAAGGGTCATGAGCAAACTATGTAGCGCAAGACTGACCAGGTGGACCGCTGTGTGCATCCGAGGAGACTCAGAGAAGGGAGTTTCGGCGTTCCACCATGTGCGAGTCGTTATGATAATCGCAAGATTGCTTACTTCCTTTTTAGTAATCTGGTTTAGTAATGAGCACAACAAGCATCCTAGAAATAACACCAGCAATGACAACACCAAGAATAGAAGTGTCAGCAACAGCAGTAGCATTGACAATGGTTTTGGAGGTACCGTCATCATCATCATCATCATAATCTTTATCATCGTTATCTTTTTTTTATCATCATCATCATCATCATCTTTATCATCATCATCATCATCATCGTAATCGTCGTCGTCTTCGTCGTCGTCATCATCATCATCATCCTCATAATCATCATCCAGCATCATCATCACCACCCATGATGATGTTGTTGATGATGATGAAAATCATCATCACCATCCTCAGCATCCTCATCCTCCTCAGCATCCTCATCATCCTCATCAGCCTCCTCCTCATCATCATCATCATCATGTGTCATCATCATCTAGCATCGCCACATTGTCATCATCATTATAATCGTCATCGTCGTCGTCGCCATCATCGTCGTCATCATCATCATCATCATCCAGAGTTCAAGCAACAAGGGTCTTACCATTTGGGTTTCACTTTATCGATCCACGAATCCCCACCCCGCCAGTTCCGTGAACTACTGATATCGAGTGCATTGCACCAAACGCCAAAACTCCATGACCTAGACTCTGGAATCCGGAACATGGCAGATGGCGCGTGAACTCCGAAGACCTAACTAAAGTCCGCAGCGCCAAACCAAAAATCCAGTGGCCTCAATCTCGAGACCTCGAAACCGGAATTGCAGGAGCTCGCCATGCTCATGGATGGTGAGCAGACGC